TAAAAACATGTTTGATAATAAGCTTTATCATAAATTCGTCTGTCATTTGTTAGAAAAGAAAAGGTTGATTATAGACTGGTTTAATTATAGAGATTAAGATTAAGTTTATTCATATTAACTTATAATATGATTAAACACTTGAAACCCTAGAAAGCCTTAAAATTGTCTGAAACCCGAACCTTGAAAATGTCAATATCTTAGACTGTTTCATAATGAAAAAAATGTAAAACAATGTTGAGAAAATTTAGGAAAATTCCCCACAATCAACCTTGGTGTTTTGAACAAAATGGTTTGCTTGTTGAAAATGAACCCTGCCCCTGAAACCCTGAACTGAAAATACCCTACCCTAGAACCAACCTTATAACCATTTTTTGGGGGAGGGGGGTCGAAAGGACAAACCACTGGGAAACTAGAAACTTTTGGGGTAGACCGATTTTGAGACGCCCCGTGCGTGCGTGTGGGTGTGTTTCCGGATGGGGGGGATGGGGGGGATGGGGGGGATGGGGGGGATGGGGGGGATGGGGGGGATGGGGGGGATGGGGGGGATGGGGGGGATGGGGGGATGGGTGTGTGGGTTGGCACCTTGGTTTAAACGGATGTTGTGTGTGTGGTTGTGGTTTGGTCGAGAGTACCCTTTTCACCATGGTGAGGGGGGGGTCTAACCACTTGCTTTTCAAGGGACGCCAAGAAGGAAACTAAGAGGGCGTGGCATGTTGTGTGTGTGGTTGTGGTTTGGTCGAGAGTACCCTTTTCACCGTGGTGAGGGGGGGTCTAACCACTTGCTTTTCAAGGGACGCCAAGAAGGAAACTAAGAGGGCGTGGCATTTATTCGAGGCTATGGCAAATTCCTTGAGCATTACCACGGTGCAGAGTTGATGGAGAAGCTGAACCGTGGATGGACAAAATCCTGCACCACCAAAATAATTGTTTGGACTTGTTTGAAAGTGGTGCAGGATTTCGTCCATCCACAGTATGGGTCTCTTTCTCCATTCGACCGGAAGTGGAACCAACATTTCCCGCGACACCTCCAAAAGGGGCCTCCAAGAACAGCTCACCTATCATACTCTGTCTCTCTCTCCCTCCCCTGCCTCCCTCCCTCCCTCCCTCCCTCGTCTTTACGGAACTCCGATCGGTAGCTCCTGAGCTGCTCCTCTTTAAAAGCAAACTTGGATCCCCGCAGCTGCGGAATGGCCCCCTTCCCCCACGACCAGCTCGCTAAGGCTTCGGCCATGAGCCAGTGGAGCCGGCAGTGCGCCTGAGGTGTCTGGCGGAAGGCCTGGTGAAGACGATGTCTCTTGGGGGTTGTTTTAAGAGTGCAACGTGTTTGTTGGGGCACCGAATGGTAGGCATTCTCTTGAGGGTACCAGTTATTCAGAAATTCAGGTTGGTTGAGTTCAAAGGGACACCAAAAGGAAACCGCACATTATGTTATTTTATTTATTTTTATTTTTATTTTTTTGGGGGGGGCTATTTTGACACATACCGACGTAGTAAGAGTGAACTATCTTTCTCTTCACGTTGTTTTCAGACACAACCCATGTCCCATTTGATTTGAAGAAAAGGGTCCCTGCAGAACATGCAGAAAAGGTGCAGCTGGAACGGTTTTCGGCGGTGCACTCAAGGTCCTGCCAATTTGTGTAAGAACAACACGCATCTCCCAGGCGCCTGCACCCAGATTCCATGCGTGAGATGGTAGCACGCAGGGCCATGCGCACAGCAAGTCGGAAACCACAAACAGCTTACGAATGAAACGCGCTTCGCGTCCAAACGGGCCCTTTGAGTTTAGCCTGCGAAGGCGAAGGTCAACATCCACCACGGTAGATGTAATCCAATGGCACCAGTCCCGGTGAGGGGGATGACGAAACCATGGGTTGGACTTGTGCCGACTCGCCCAGGTGAAAAGGGCCCCATGGGAGACATCCACATCACACGCGGATCCGACCTGTGGCGCGAACGCTGTGAGATGCGATGCAAAACTGGGCCGTCGTCTAACGCCTTGTCTGCCAGCTGAAATCTGGCCGGCGCCTACAAAATGGACCTGTCCTTGTAAGCATCACTTCTGGAGGCTTCCATGTAATTTGGTGGAGAGTCTGAGTTACTCTGGACTAGGACTGAGTACTGAAATGACTAGAGACATACATCAATGCTTTCAAGCAAAACAAGGTTTGATGGACACAGTTGAAAGATGTTGAAGGTAAGCGTTGGACCCGTCCGGTGTTGTTTCCGTCGGATCGCTTTTCTATGCAGGCTACGGAGGGCCTGCAACAAGCAGGTGCCACACTTGGCAGCAACGGCGGCAGCAAAACCGTCTCGAATCCAAAAATTGGCATCCCCTTTAAAATGGTACCGAGGAGAACTAGAAGGAAACCACTACTGCTTCGATCTTTTAGGGGTTTTCTTGGAGACACGCAGCTGAAAGAACTTCGGCTTTCCACTTGGGTCCTGACGACACAGCGTCCGCCTCCATCCAGCTGTGGCACATTGCCTGGCACGGGTTGGCTGTCGGAGCCCCGAGGGGCGTTGGAATGACCGTCCCTAGCCCAGGTATATAACGTGTTATGCCTTCTTCAAAATGGGATCCCCCATGCTAATCTGCAATCTGCACTCGATCACCGCTACAACACGGGGAGAAAAAAAGAAGAACACAACAAAGCGTGACTGTCATCCATAAGGATTCAGTATGGATTTTGAACCACCCAGCAATTCGTACACTTCCTCCAATCCAAACTTAAAATTTGTTTGGGTGCATTGCCTCTTGGACAACGTCCCTGCCACAAACCATTGACTCCAATTTGTGCCAAGGCTGGACGCTTCAGTGCCTTGAGCCAACATGCGATCTGCTCAAAGGCGCAAGGAAGTCGCCCAATCGCCGTTCACGGACTTCGCGCTTCGCGAATTTCGGGGCGCTCACTCATCGTGGTCGCCAACGAAAAAGCTCAAAATTTGCAGCGCTCAGTCCAGTGGCTCAATTGTGTAAACCAGTAAAGTTGGGTGGTCGATCTTCCCTCCCGCAATAAACCTCATTGGGGGACCCTCGCGGAATAATTGCCCTTTGAAGGATCATGGTGGAAGGGCGCATGAGAGGCTTATCGGGCTAAGCGGAAAAAACAGAACTTGGCAATATCTAGCTTTGTCGGGGCATGCCGTAGGAATAGCCAAGCGAACTCGATGCCATCTCTTTCCAAATGGGCCTAATATGAGTCCAAGTCCAGCGGAATCTCTAGACTCAGCATGGAGCTAAGTGATACTACACGATACTTGCTCTAGCATGTGCCTTTGGTGTCTTGCAAACATCCTTGGCAAATGCTTTCGAAGTAGTCCGTCGTTAACAAATCCAAGAATTTCACCTCTGACAGTTAAATACGAATGCCCCCAACTATCCCTATCGATCATTACCTCAGTTCTAGAAACCAACAAAATAGAACTGGGGTCCCATCTTATTACTCCATGCTAATGTATTCAAGGCGTGCGCGTGCTTGAAACACTCTAATTTCCTCAAGCTAAAAGTCCTAACTAATTAAATGCCGCGCCACACAGCAAAGTGCAGACACGTTCTTCAGGAAGATGTCACGGCTGAACCAGATGCACACCCAGAAGGCGGACCGGTCACCCCCAACAGAAATCCAACTACGAGCTGTTTAACCGCAACAACTTTAATATACGCTATTGGAGCGCTTTCTCATATCCGTATGTATTTGGCCCTCAGCACGCAAATGCAGCATGTATCGCGTGCTCCCACTCCCGTCCTGCCTCAAGAAGATGCTGCGCCTGACATGAGGATGGTAGACGCAGCTGGCAGCCCGGGTAAAGGAGATCTCTTGGCAAGCAGGGTACCCTAGGAGGACCCGCAAAACTTTGATCTTGCTTTTGGCTTCGTTTCACAAAAAGGCGAACAGGCAGGGTACCACTCGCAAACAAAAAGCGTCCCAAAGCAGGCTTGCGAAAAAACTGGCACATCGCTTGTAACGGATTTGGATCTTCTGAACTAATATATCCGCTCTTAGCTGACTGGCCCATGACTGGTCCAAGTGCATCCTTTCCTGGGTCCTGCTAGATTTCCCCCTTTAACCATTACCCAAGAGAAAGCTCATCTTAAAGTGGAAAGGCAAATAGATAATGTTTAAACAGGCTGAAGGGAGAGTAGTCAAGCAGCGAATGTGAAACCGCCAAGTGAAGGACCTGGTGAGCTCGCTTTGCGCCAAGGTGAGCTCGCCACAAAATGGGCAAATGAGATGCTCAAATGACTCAAATGCCCATGCGTCATGCAACGACCCCATCTCGCGGCAAAACTAAAACGCAAACACCGGAGAACCAAGGAGTGAGATCACTTGCCCGTGGTGGGAGCCCAGAAAGGTGGGCTTGTTATTTCTTGTCCAGGTCCAAAAGGAATGGCAATATCAACTACAATATGATTGGCAGTGTGACAAAACCAAGCCACATCCTCGAACAAGGAAACAACCATGGATGGGGGTGGGGTCAGCATGGAGGCCACTTTTTGCACAGGGACGCATATCTCAGATGCCCAGTGGCCATGGGGAAAAAAGGGCATCCTTTATTGGTTGAAACAGTTCAGAACAAACCCTTCCCCAAAAAAGAAGTGAAAAGGGCGCCACTGGGCAACAAAGATATTGCTGAGGCTTGCAAGAAAATCCAACTGAGCAATGGGGTCAACTCCCGAGATCGGCAAACCAGGTGAGAGGTCCCTCGGCACTCCCCGCCGCGCCTGCGACCAGTCGGACTGGCTGGTGATAGCTATGACTGAGTTCCAGGAGATGGTCGTCAACCTGAGACTGGGGCATTTGGGCCCCTTCTGGTTGCAATATGGTATGCTGAGGCGGTCCAAAGTACTTTCGGGGGTTGGCAAATGTCATTCTTGCCTCGCCTTGCCCCACAGAAGGCAAAACCAACACGACACTGGAGGGGCACAAACTTCACGTCATTTAGCCTAAGTAGACTGGTTGAAGCGGGGTGGGGTGGGTGGCGGGTGGGGGCGGGATGCGTCACTTCAAGCCGAAGGAGCTGGCACAAAGCCGCAGCCAGGCCGCGCAGCTGCCGCAGGGCCAGCACCTCACCGTTCCATGGGCACCCATCTTTTCGAGGTCCCCAAGTTTTGGACACAGGAAAGGATTCGCACCATAGATATCCATTGGAGACAGACATGAAACTGGTATATGCACACACTCACAAACTTGTATTTTTTGCAGTTGGTTTTAGGTGTCCTTATGGAAACAGAAATGAAACTGGGATATGGATAGAACAAACAGAGTCATGGAAACGTGATGCAAACATTTTCAGCCCCAAACCACAACCCACAAGGGCAAATGGCGTAACCATTGTAGGGACATAAGGGATATGTACTCCTGCTCTTGCTGGCGGCGGGGGTAGTGGACGCCCCTCTCCACGAAAAAGGTGGGTGATGAACATTTAGATTCAGATCAACGAACCACCAAACCAAGTTGCGACTGCGAGATGGGGAAAGGGCCAAGGTATGTGCCAAACAAGGTGAACATGTGCTTCGGCCCACTGTAGAAGAAAAAAACAAAAAAAGCCTGGGATCCCCGTCAAGTAGCAATCAAAAGACAACTCGGTCTCCTCACCATCTCACATGTGCTTCGAAAATTAGCTTGCGACAAAGCGCAAAGCCCAACCATTGTGAGCCGAACCCCACTTAAGCACAGTTTGCGGATTGACTTGCCGTTCAGAAAGCAAAGAGGTTCCTGGAGGTGTGGAAACCCTTTTACCCAGTAAGGAACTTTAGGACACTGAATTTCCTATGCTGGGCTTGATTAAGGACTTGGGAATGCAAAGTTACCCTGCTGTGACCTTAACGAAAGCAGGAAAAAGGAACGGTCCGTTCGCTCCGAAACCCACAAAAACGGCACCCATTCCCTCCAGTAACCCTTGTAGAAAACGTGTTTTTAAACTTTTTTGGGGTGACCATTCTCAAGAGAACCCAGGCTTCCCCCGCAAAACAAAAGACGTACCCATACTTCGCCCCCCCCATGACAGAACATAGTTTTGGAGACCCCGGTGCCCCTGTTGTTTCAGGGGCCAACCCGCCAACCGTACCCGCCCCTCGACTCATCGGAGGCGCCCAGCGGCTCAGGGCGGAGGAGGATGCCACCACGCTGCGCTCCAGCCCAGCCTCGAGTCGATTCGCTGCGAGCCTCGTCTCACAGCCATTTGAAACGATGGCAAGTTGCTGGTGGTGTCATTTGAAACGACCGCCACGTCTGGAGGTTCCAACAAGGGAAATGGAGGGAAGCCTGCACCAGTGGAAGCTGTGCACCAGTGGAAGCTGACGATCGGAGGGTTCTGGAAGGCTACTCTCCTGTTGGGAAGCGACCGGAATCCACGTCCATGATTCTTGGAAAGAGGGCAAATGGTAAAAAAGAAATGGAGGGATGCCTGTTGAACCCCTAAGCCGCGCGACAAACCTGGTGGGGTGGGTATTTGTTGTGGTGGTTGCTGCTTGGGGTGTGGTATGTGTTTTGTCTTGTCAACTGCTTCTGTTTTGCGGGTTGTCATCTGACGGTTGGTAGACAGGTGTAGTCGGTGTAGTGGTTTGCCTCAGTTTTGTTTAATCCCAGTTGGAGGCAACCACCTACAGCCAGCCGCCTGCCAGAAGGCACCAGTTGGTATGGTGGGTTGGAGAAAGCTACAAGTTTGGAGTCGATATGAACCACGGAAGAAAACCCCAAACATGATGCCAAGGACAATGTTTGCTTTGGGCTTCCACAAAAGGAGTGAACCATGGTCAGGTCGTTTCATTTCAGCCATGCCGACACCCAAGCCACGGCTAGAACACTCCAGTTGACTGCGGTCTGATGCTGGTGGTCGGTTTTTTTCAGACGTTGCGAGGAACGACTACCCACTTTAAAATTAGGAAACAACCAGGGTTTCGAGAGAAGTCAAACTGATATTCCTGCAATGGCAAACTCACGTTACGTGGCTTGAAAGTTCAGCTGATCTCAAAATGAGACAGAAATGGGAGGGGCGGGCTGTCTGGACAGCTATACCGCGGACCTTGTCGAAAAGACAAGGGTTCTTGGAAGGGTTCCCAAAAATATTTGTCGAAGTTCCGCGGCGCCGGAAATCCAGACCCACGCCCCTTCCCGAAACCTTCTGACAAAAACTGTTTGGTCGTAGCACGGAATGAGGCATAAAACCACAGAGCCAAATATATGGCGAGTCTTTCTTGAGGGGGACCCCTCAAATGGTGATGTTCCTCTTTGTCTCCTTGGAAACCACCAACTAAAAGGGGTACCCTCAAGCAAAACAAAACACCCGCATAATTCCCCAATTTGTTTGCAGGGGGATCATTCCCTCGGGAAATGTTCCCTAAATTCAATAGTCACTGGCAGTCCGAACTGCATGCTGAGCATACGCTGTACTAGTAGTTGGACTCCTGGTGGGGTCTCCTTAGAAGCATCTGCATGTTGGGCAGGAGGCCGGCAGGTGAGTAGTTGATGTCAATTGCAAACCTCCAAAACTCTTACCAGACCAAGCCGAACAACTTCAAGCCAAGCCAGCTCAAACCACCCCAAGCCCAACCAAACCATCCCAAGCCACTCCACACCAACACCGCCCCATCAAACCAAGCCACTCCAAGCCACTCCAAATTCAACAACAACCATGCCACATCAAGCCCAACCGCCAAATCTCCACTAAACTTGACTAAACCACTCCCATGTCCAAACATCTCCAAACTCCAAACCTTTTCAGAGAGAGCGTCAGCCACGCCCTGCGTCACGGGCCTCGTCCAGCAAACTCAGCAACCTTTCCCCGAGGCGCCAGCGCTGGGCGCGGCCTTTGGTTTCCCCGAATCGGGTGGCTCGTCTCTTTTGATGGGACCCCCAATGCCGCGGATGGTTGCGAAATCCATTTCGCACCACAAATGAAAGCATGGTTGGGACCATTGTTTGCTGAAATTTGCAGCGGAAACAACAAAAAATGGTTTTCTTGGGTGATGCAGGATTTCGTTCATCCACTCCTTTAACACCAGCCAAGAAGGAAGTCTCCCCCAAAAAACACGACAGACCCACATAGCAGCGCATGTCCAATGGCCCCATGGCCCAAAGGAAAGGCGCACCGACTCTCCAGCAACCCCCGGTGGCTCAGAGGGTCCCAAAAAAGCCCAAAGCAGAAAACCACTTGGCCTTTGACCTAATTTTGCAGGGAACCCACCACTAAGGTTTGAGTCTTGAACCATTTGGCCTTTGACATAATTTTCTAGGGAACCCAGCACCAAGGGCTAGGGATTTGATGCCACCAACGAAAGGTCCCGGCTGCAGGAGGCTATAGCAGCACCCAGCAGAACCTGGCGAGGGTCGAACGAAGACTCCAGGGCTGCCTGTAGTGTACTGGGCTATTTGGCACCCGCCCAACAAGATCGACATTTGGCTTCTTTGTGAAAGCCCGAAGATTGCTATTGAGAGAGAAGGTGGTGTTAAACGTCAATGTAAAGGGACTGTTCTTCATGCAGGATGATGTCAAGATGGAAGGGGCAGGGAATCGACGAGACCCAACAACTCCAACAGATCAATGGCAAATCATTGCCAAAAGCACCTGGAAACTGGGACCTCGAAACTGCTCAAAAGGAAACCAACAGTTGAAATTGATCGGCTTTGGACGGCCGAGCAGTCCCCTGCGCAGTCAGGAGTTAAGGGAAATCACTACCAGCACGCTTGCAGGGTACAGGATTGGCTTCACTCAGCCCTGAAGCTCGGGGGCTCCTAGGCCCAGCGAGCTTTGATCAGTAGCACTGGGCAAGGCACACCCTGAACACAAAATCACAAATCCGCCTCCCTCTAATTCGTGACTTGGATTAGTGGGCGGGAGGTGTTCCGGGGGTGGCTTCCCATTTACCGACAAGAACCACATTTCAAATCCCCAAATCACCAATCCAAACCATGAATTAAGTACGGGGTACCTGACAAAATGCAGCCTGCCCACTAAACCCTGTTTCTACGTGGCCAACATTACCGGCAGCAACGCCCAAGCTGGCTAAAAGCTCAGCGCCTGGTTGCTCCTGCCCTGCAAGTTGGCCTCGGCTGCGTCCGACGGTTCCAGCAGCGGTATGTGTCAAGCTATGGAATTAGACACACATGGCGGTCCTTGCGGTTTCACCTTAAGCACCCCGTAAAAAAAGGCAGTCTCAGAAAACACAAGCCCTGTTGGGCGTTGCTAAAGCAGTAAGAAAAAAACAACAAAAGGAGGAGACCCTGGGTGAACATTTGGCTCCTCTTTGCACCAGGCAATGGGCCCCTTGCTGGACGTGGATGTTTTTCAATTCCTGGGAGGAAAAGAGGGACATCCATGGGCCGCTTTTGCCAGAATCCGACAGTTTGATGACACATCAAAACTTGTTGCCGATGACAGGGAAGAGACGCATGCAAGCTCCGTTTCATGACTGCAAGGCGGTCACACGACAGTCACATGCCTTGTGTCTCTTGGTGGCGGGCAGAACGAGAAAGCCTCAGCCGCCCGGCCACTGTCCAGACGGCTTCTTTCCATCGACCGGCTCTGCTGTAGGCGCCTGCAGGCAGACTAGAGCAAGCGCACAACAGCGGAAACATGCTGCAATCCGATACGGATGAAATAGCAAAACAACTGCAGCAGCACTTTGCCTAGTTGCTGCTGGCAGTTTTCCAGAAGTCTTCACGTAGTCTTTTTCTTTGAGTTGCGGAATGGGCTGCCAGCCTCGACGTCAAGGCACTCACAAGCACGAGGTTAGCAGTTGGCTGTCGGATTTGCCATCGGTCAGGTGAACCAGCTTTCTCGAACATCGCGTGGGAGGGGCCGGCCCGGGGTGGTTTCGCAGAGCTATGGGGTTTATTTGGAGCTGTACATGACGAGGTGAGAGTTTGTTTCTCCCAAAGAAACCCTCCCACTAAACCAAGATGGACAATTAGATGGACACTTCAAGGCTTGTCCAACACATGGGGGCAGTGGCCACAACTTGTGTTCGCTCAAATTGCCACCGTGGAGCTTCGAGGAACGGCCAATACTCAGTTTGGGCCCAAAAGGAACTTTCGAACTCTTGGTTCAAACGAGTCCCTTGGCAAATGCGAATCGAACGGCGAGGCATGCGCGCCGAAAAAGGCGAGCGCCGCAAATTGCGCCTGTGAGCGCCCCCCGCAGGATGGAGTCTGCTTGCAGGCCTTCCTGCGGCAACATCTCCATCTGATTTGCAGAGCACCCCTTTTCAGGTCGGTTTTTTAGGAAAAACAAAAAATGAAAACCGAGATCCACTGTGGGGTTCAAATCCTTTCGACATCTTTTGACACATCTCATGCCGGGCCCTTCGTTGGGGCCGGCGAAAGCGCTGGAAGACCCCTCTTCAGCGCCTGAAGCTGGTCCGGAGGCATCGCAAAGTGACGGAGAAACATGGCCCTAGGACGATCCTGGATCGCCAGTTGCTGCATTGTGCATCCACTTGACCCCAAAAACCAGCAACCGTGACTGAAAAAAGCGGCCACTTGGCTATCTAGCATGTTCACGTGGACGGCTCAAACAGGCAGCTGATTCGGACGCCGAATAAGCCGGGTTGAGAGGGGTTGGATGTCCTTGGGCTCGCTTTCTCATGCGGGTTGGTTCAACATGTAGACGGCAATTGTTCAAACACCATCCTGTTGGCTTTCCATTGAAGGGTGGAGGCTGGTTCTTCAGCATGCAACCCGCCGCCAGTAGGTTTTGTGGTTCTGGTCAAACTTGCTTCCAGTGGGAACCAGCGTGTGAGCGATTTTGCGATCCAGCAGCTTAGTTGTGATGTGTAAATATATATATATATATATCATGTTCCAAGCCAGGGTTTCGAAGAGCGCTATCGGCGTTCAACATACCGCTGCCTTCAGCTTGCTTGACCTCAACTGCATGCCTGAGGCGCCATCACATCGTGCCTCGAGAGGCGACATATCATGCGGATCGTGTGAAAATAAATGCATGTACGTGTCACAACCAAGGACCTGATGTTGGCTTGCCTTGCGAACTTCTCCAAATAGCAAGATGCCCGCAAACGTGGAACATGCCAGATCCCTTTCAAAGAAGATGGGTCGATTGCATCTGGGCGAAATGCTATAAAGGGGATCCCGAATTACTCAACCCAACTTATTCACGGGAGGGTGTCATCCAGAAAAGCTAAGGATTCCCACTACAAGGGGACACCCCCTCTTCATCCACAAAAGGTCTATGCCCGGGGTCAAGATTAGCCGAAGCCAACGATGCCCTCGCCTCTGGCAGATGAAAGAAGAGCTGCGCTGCCCGAAGCCACGCCTGGCAAACAAACGGAACCGTGTTCCAAGCCCAAAACAACCAACCCCTTAGAACCCCTCATGTACAAACACGTGCAAATATCTCTGTTTTATCTATGTATGCATACATGTATGTATGTGCGTATGTGTGTATGTGCGTATGTGTGCATGTGGGTATGTGTGGATGTGTGTGTATATCTGTATGTGTGTGTGTGTATATGTGTGTATGTGTGTATGTGTGTATGTGTGTATGTGTGTATGTGTGTATGTGTGTATGTGTGTATGTGTGTATGTATGTATGTATGCATATATTGTAATGCAATGTAATGTGGTGTAATGTAATGCAATGTAGTGTGTATGTATGTATGTATGTATGTAGGTAGGTAGGTAGGTAGGTATGTATGTATGTATGTATGTATCTATGTTATGTGTGTTATGTATGTTATGTATGTTATGTATGTTATGTATGTTGTGTATGTTATGTATGTTATGTATGTTATGTATGTTATGTATGGTATGGTTGTTATGTATGTTACGTATGTTATGTATGTCATGTGTGTGTGATGTATGTGATGTATGTGATGTATGTTATGTATGTTATGCATGTTATGTGTGCGATGTACTGTGTATGCTATGTATGCTATGCTATGTATGTATGTATGTATGCATGCATGTATGTATGTATGCATGCAGGTATGTATGTAGGTAGGTAGGTAGGTATGTAGGTGCGCACATGAGTTTGTATGTGTGCATGTATGTATGTACGTACGTATACGTACGTATGTATGTGTGATCCAGTATTGTTAACTTGCACGAGCTCAGGCCTTTTTTGCAATCCACAGCAAGAAGCGTTCCACGCTTCCCAAAAACGGCTGTGAGTGCAAGTTGCAGGAACGATGCGCTCTCGATCAAACTGGGGCATGAAAACGGCGGCTCATTGGGGCAATAGCAGCCCCCAAGTGAGCTGTCGTGCTCATGCCCCAGTTTGATCAAACGCGTTTCGTTTCTGCAGCCTGTACTCACAACCGTTGTTGGAAGCCCGGAACGCATCTTGCTGTGACAAGGCCTTGCAACAAGGTCGGGAACCGAGCTCGACTTTCCAAACCCAGGGTTGAAATTGAACAAAGTTGGCCTAACGTCAGTTTCTGCGCACCCGTAATATGAAGAAACTCGGTTCATTTGTTGAGACCCCGAAAATTGGAAGAGTTCTGAGAGTAGGGGGGGCATGAGTGTGCCGCGTTTGGTGCAAACAGTTCCAGTCTCCGATCTCATCACCGAGATGGGTGATAGGAGGCAGCAGCAAACATGTCAAGACTCACGACTCCTCGGGTCATTTTTTCTTCGAACTGAGTCCGCTAAGTTCCAACCAATTTCAAACTTCGACAGTTTCTCCAAACTCGGGCTGTTGCGATTGGAGAATCTCCGAACTATGGCCCGTTGTCTCCAAACCCAGTGAGGGCAGTTTGGAGATACTCCAAACTCAGGCTCGTAATCTCCAAACTCTAGCCTCTAGCCAATTTCTCCCAACTCAACCTGAGTTTGGAGAAACTCAGGCTCGAGTTTGAAGATTTCCAAATTCGGGCCCGAGTTGCCAAACCCAGGCCCGTTTTCCCCCAACTCAGGCCTATTGAGGCCTGCGTTCACTCTTTAAAGTCAGGCTCCTTTTCTCCAAATTCAGCCTTTTTTCTCTAACTCAGCCCGTTTTCTCCAAACCGTGGATGACTTTGCAGATTCTCTACACTGAGGCATGTGTTCTCCGAAAACTCAGGCCCGAGTTTCCAAACTCGGGCCCGAGCTTGGAGAAT